GGCGGCGAGTCTCCGTCCGGTCTCCGCTTGGAACTGTCCAGCAGCACCAGCGGCGGCGGTGGCGGCGGGGAAATCATACGATGACAGCGGCGTCAGTCTAATGCCCATAAGACTTTAAAACCGGCGCGCGCCGGCGCTCAAAGCGAGGGCGGCGGGCGGGCGGCAGCCGATGAGGAGAGAGATCCCCTCGGGGAGGAATGCATACGTGAATAGGAGGATGAGTCTGAGTGTGTATGTCTGTGTGTAGGTGATGTGTGTAGGCTGGTAAAGCGGGAGCGGATGGGGGTGGAAGACAGCGGGTTGTAGGGAAGATTGGAAAGGGGTAAAGTGAGGGAAAGAGAGGGAGATAGAGAAGGCAATGCGATGAGAAAAGATGACAACGTTCGGGAAGGAATCGGGAAAGGATTTGGAATGACTTGGGAAGCGATTTGGAATGACTCAGGAAAGGATTTGGAATGACTTGGGGAAAGGTTTTGGAATGTTTCGGTAAAGGGTTGGGAATGCATCGTGAAAGCATTGGAAATGAATCTGGCAAGGTTTGGGAATGGATTGGGAATGAATCGAGAAAGGACTAGGAATAAATCGAGAAAAGATCGGATATGAGTCAGAAAAGGATCGAATGTGAGTCGAGAAAGGATAGAGCATGAGTCGGGAAATGGTCGAGAATAAGTCATGTGACGATCAGAGGGTCGGGAACGAGTCGGAGAAAAAAATTCTAAAATCGCTCGTGAAAGGATGGAGAAAGAATCATGTTTGGGTGCAAAGAAGAATCGAGAGAGAGATAGAGAGAGACAGAGATAGAGATAGATAGGGAGAGACAGAGATAGATAGATATATAGGGAGAGACAAGAGATAGAGATAGATAGGGAGAGAGAGGGAGAGCGATATATAGGGAGAGAGATATATAGGGAGAGAAATATAGGGAGAGAGAAATATAGGGAGAGGGAGATAGATAGATAGGGAGAGAGAGGGAGAGAGATAGATAGAGAGAGAGGGAGAGAGATAGATAGGGAGAGAGAGGGAGAGAGACAGAGCGAGAGGCGAGAGAGAGAATAACGGTGGGTAGATTCATACGAAACAGCATCTCCGCATGGAGCTCTGCCGGTGTGCGCCGCGGGACGGCGCTGGCGGGCGACTGCCAGTCGAAGGCGGCGGCGGTGGACAGAGAGCGCGGGGCGCTGGGGGGGCGGGGAGCAAATCTCGCGCGGGCGATCCCCCCGAGTCGGCTGTTCATGAATTCGGAAGCAGAGCGGAGAAAGACCGGGGGGTTAGTGGGCGGGATGCGCGCGCGCGTTGCGAGAGATAGGCCGGGCGAGCGGCGCGGGGCGGCGGACGCTGCGGGGCCCAGCTGTCTTTGTCGGAGGTTTAGGTCGCGATGGCGTCGCGCCGGCCGGGGGAAACGGGACCACGCCCCCCCTCGCGGCGCTGGACGCGGCCGGTCACCGGAATACGCGGGAATAAAGTCTTAACGGCCTGCGTATATCCAGAAATTTAACAGTTCGCCGTCCGTTAATAACAAACGAAACAAAAGAGTTTAAGATGACCATGACATTTATCTACAAAAAAAAATGCAGATAAAATTTATATGATTTTTTGTAAAATCTTTTAAAATCTATAAATTATATCTGCATTTAATTATGTGGTAAATATTTGTACGTCATTGTAAGCTATAACCCTTTTGGTTCGATTGTTATTAACGGACGGCGAACTGTTAGATTTCCGAAAATATGCAGGCCGTTAAGACTTAATCGATGTAACAGTACAGTATTACGAAATAACGAGTAATAAATGTAGGAGCTGAAAATACATCGTGAAGTGGGTCAGACATCTCACTTACAGCAAATGAAAATTTCACTCCTGTACAGTACTGGCGCCAGTTCAGGGCATAGCATGGAACCATTTTAATAAATGATTAATAAAGTGACAAATATTTGCACAGTTGCACTGATTATTTATGAATACTTAATATATAGTGAATTAATGTAATTCGTGTGTTTGTATTGATTGAATGTGTCGTGATGTATAACGAACTAAAAAACGCATATGGTTGTAGACAAAATAAACGATAAGTATTATTGCAAAATTCTACAACTGGCTCTTACGTTTCACTTACAAGCACCGAAAGAGACACGTGATTCCAAATTTCTATCTTCCCGATAAACTCCGCATTTCTTTCACTATTCTTGCACATAAAATTAATACGAAGAATTACATTACATTAATTTGGTCAATAATTGTTATTAAGCGCATTTCACATGAAAGAAACGACAGTCCGCATCAAACAATACAGACGGGAGCTACTGCGTCGTTGCCGAAAGTACCGGAAGCCGGGAGGCACTCGTTAGTGCGTCCGATCTCAATCCTGCCATGGCCACTTCCTCCCTTCCTCCATCTTCCTCTCTCCCTCATCCTCTGCGGAAGGCCGTCCGGCCTCATCCGCGGGTTGTTTTTGCGGGCAGCGTCTTTGAAGTCGCCCGCGTCGAGAGTAGTTAGTCCGGCTCAGGACGGACACCACCCTGCCTCGCGGCTCGTCGCGAGACGTGGCGATTTGGAAAGAGGCGGCGGTGATAATTGGTTTCCTCCCTCGTTAGTTGTTCCTTTAGTCTCCAGAAGCGCCACTTTACTCCGAGTGGAGCTCTCGTGACTTTGTGATGTCGTGCCACAAGTATGTTTCGAAGCCAATTAATTTAATTGGATTTTAAATTTTGTCGCTCATGAAGTATTATTATGTGGTGAGAGGTACCGGGCCTGAAGGAAATAAATGGTATTCTGTATTGTTTCAAGAAAAATAATTGGGCAAATCCTGTTTTCTGTTAACGAATTGTGGACCTCGGGTCGAAACAAAATACATCGGCTATTCGTAATGTGACATCTTGAGAGTTCGGCTGAACAATTATTTTAATGGTCTTTTAGAACATGCATTGCCTACAATTATTTCTCAAAGAGATGATATTTGAAAATTTGGAGGAATTATAGAGATGAAATAAAGCTACTTACGATAAAATAATATTCCATGTCAAAAAATACTTGCGGAATACTCGCAAGGGTTTAGTTGATACAAGGAAGAAAATACTACGTAATTAGAATGAATGTGTATAAGAGCAGAAATGTATGTGGGATCGGAGAACGGTGTTTGTTTAGCAAACAAAATAACACGTGTTTCTAAACTGATTGAATATCACTTCGAGATCGTATCTTGTAGTACGTCGTCCTTTTTGTTTACGATAAGTAATGTATCTCGTTTTTCTTATATTTGTTTACAGTCCCCGTACCTTGCTTACGATTTCCGCCTTTCTTACCCCGGGCCTTGAGACACTTTGATTTTGCAATTTAATTGTGTCTTAAGTCTTCTTTACACAGTTAAGTTTGCCGAAAAACTGACTTTAAAAAAATAAATCAAACTACGCAGATTCTTTGCAAGAAAAGTGAATGAGGAAAGGTTGGCGATATAAACTTGTGTATGATATTTGGATGCAAATATCACATTTTTTAATGTCATCGCAAGTTTCAAGAATCAAGCTTCATTTTCCTGTACAAAAAACGTCCAGCCTAGGCACGTGTTAGTACTAGCCAAACTAGATGCAAATGTATGCTATTAAGCTGACCGTCGATTGGAGTAGTGACTCACCCTTGAGCACGGAGCAGGTGGCGGCGGGCAGCTTGCAGAGGTCCGGCCGCCGGAGGTACTCGTGCCACGGGTAGGCCGCCAGGTAGGCGGGGTCGAGCCACGGGGCCGCTCCGAACATTGGGAAGACGGGCCCGAAGCCGGGGTGCTGGCCAGGCAGGTAATGCAGGTCTGAAACACACAAACCATTCATTTATCTTCAGTTAGTTGCACTAATAAATGTGGAGTCAACCACATGTACGATTGTAGGCTTCCGCGGCTGGAGTCAATACATTCTTGGCTATCTGGGATGAGCCGCGTCTCGGTCAATTCTGCTCACGTTTCGGCCATTTTGCTGTTGCCAGAGCTATGCTGCTGGTAGTATACTGCAGCATTATAGCTCTCAAGAAGGCGAGAACAAGATGGCCGAAACGTCAGCACAATTGACCGAGACGCCGCTTATCTCGGATAGCCAAGAATGTATCAACGACATGTATCTGACACCAATGCTACAAAAAATTGAGTATGAATCGATAAAAAAGGTTTACAGGCTCTTCTTCAGCATTGTTGCGGAGTCCTTGCAAAAATTGGTAAGGAATATAGAACACAAATGCGGAAAATAAATAATTTAAATAATATGTTGGGTAGATGCACCACAATCATTATTTTTTGCTTGTCGCTAAGAGTCGAGCGATTCCTAATATATACCGCCAGAGGCCATGAGCGTGGCGACGGGACTGGTTCCTAACAGATTTACTGGAGGCCAGTAGCAGTGCGAACGATACATATTTTAATATAATAGCAATTTACTATAAAATAACATGAAAGAAAATTATAGATTTTTTTCTTTTACCACAAATTACATTAAATCTTAAACCCCCTGGTTTTTACAAAATTGATCTTTTTTTATTTTCACAAGAATTGGATGTGAAGAAAGCCTGGGTAACGCCGGGTATTATACTAGGATGCTATAATCATCCTCTGCAAGAATTATTCGCCAAGAAAAAATTTCTTGGCGAATGTCTTCCATACAGAAGACACAATTGACTGTTACGCCGTAAAATAGCTGGTGATGGATAGGAAATTAAATTCAACTAGATTTAAGGTAAAAAGAGAAGTTCGCAAATTAGGAACGCAGCTGGTGCACTTGCAATACGCAACACACTTTATGTTTCAACACATTGACATTGTAAATATCGCGAAAACGATGGATTTTAGACATCTATAACCATTAATTGATGATACCACTGTTTGAAAACATAAAACATGAGGCCAACTTTTTAAACATTTGTGAAGAGTAAAGACAAATACGTAAAAGGGATCGATTTATATCAAATAATACTTAGCGCACTGAATGTAGTAAGATTTTTGCGCATGGCGGGTCTTAATTACTCTTAATATTGAAATTATTTGAAACCAGTAAGTATCTTGCTTGTAAGATGTGAATACATTTACATCTTCGAAGTGTCTTCTAATATGGCTTTTATTTGAATATTTGAGAAGCTTCACATTTGCCTTAGTCCTTAAGTACATAAAAAGTTGAAAAATAAAATATCTTTTATAATTTGAGAGTTTTTAAAAAAAAAGCATTCATTTTTTATTCTCATTTTTAGATTGAAATCCTTATAACCTTAGTACCTCATAACGGACCATTTTAACATTTTTGCTGGTGTAAATCTGAACGAACAATCAACCCAACCTACAATCGGAATTCTCACCTCGATTTCTCGATCACGTTACGTCGTTTCATTCTATCCACCACAATTCTTTAATGATTGTTCTGTTGTTTGTTTCAGGGCAGCGGTGGATTCACAGCACTTCAGGCCCGTCAGGTGAGTGTATCAATAATGAGATTAAGGTAAATAAGTGATGGCTGAATGACAACTCATGCAACACTTAACTCTCATGCAAAATTGAAAATTACGATTCTCTTCGTTTTTTGTGACTCGCAACAAAAATCGAAATGACAAATGCAAATGGAAACGAGTCCGGGCATTAACTATTGATCAGAAGCAACCGAAAGAGAACAAAAACCTGTGAGCACGGCTTCATATGCAGAAGATATGAAATTATTGATCGTATGTATTCCCAGGATACACAATCACGCGGGTCAGTATGTAAGAACCGTAATATTTAATAGTTAACTAAATGAGCTGAGAAAAAATGTCAGGGAAATGAGAGTTCGCGAAAAAATATTTCCTTTAGTGTACGTATATAATTGTTCCAAAAAGAACCATTTTGGATGATGATCTCTCTCTCTCTCTCTCTCTTTCTCTCTCTCTCTCTCTCTCTCTCTCTCTCTCTCTCTCTATATATATATATATATAATAGAGGGAGGGAGAGGGAGAGGAGGGATACTCTAAGAAGGGACCATTTTGACAGGTCAGGAAACAATTTGATGTCATGTAGAGCAGTAAGAACAGGTGCTCGATCCTGTTGAAAGATGCAATCGCCATCCCCGAATTGCTCTTTAACGGTGTGAAGCAAGAAGGTGTTTAACACATCAACGTGAGCCTGTGCCGTGATAGTGCCACACAAATCAACAAGGGGTGCAAGCCCCCTCCATGAAAAACACGACCACACCGTAACACCATTCAGGTCGTGTCTGGACACTTTTGATCACATAGAGTACATACACACAAAAGTGAGAGAGTAGACGGATTGACGAGACTCAACAGAGACGTCCACGAGTATGACGCCGTCCCTTGCGTCAGCGCCCACGCCAAACCCCCTCCGCCCTCCCCGTCCCCCGCCGCCGGCAAGTCACACGCCGTCGTGCTCCGGTCCCCCGCGCACGGGCAGGTTGTTGTCGGGGAGTGGGCGGGGCGGGGCGGTCGTGCGGGACGGTATAACCTGCAGGGGCAGGAACTCTTTTGCCTAATGGCCCGCATGCTGGACTCGGCGGC